TATGAAAAATACCTAAGTATTGCTAAAGAGATTGGAGAGAAAGCTGGAGAAGGAACTGCTTACGGAAACTTAGGATGTGTCCATAATACACTTGGGGAATATCACACGGCCATTGAATATCATGAACGAAGTCTAAGTATTGWTAAAGAGATTGGCAACAGACAGGCAGAAGAAAGCTCTTACGGAAACTTAGGAAATGCCTATATTTCACTAGGAGAATATCAAAAGGCCATTGGATATTTTAAAAACATGCTACGCATTGTCAAAGAGATTGGCGATAGACCGGGAGAAGGAATTGCTTACGGGAACTTAGGAAATGCCTATCATTTATTAGGGGAATATCACAAGGCCATTGAATATAATGAAAAGAGCCTAAGCATTCATAAAGAGATTGGTCACAGGAAGGGAGAAGGAAATTCTTACGGAAGCTTAGGACTTGCCTATATTTCACTAAGGGAATATCACAAGGCCATTGAATATCAAGAAAAGAAACTAAGCATTGCTAAAGAAATTGGTGACAGACAGGGAGAAGCAGTTAGTTACCAATCTTTCGGTAAGCATGACATAGTTACGAAAAATATATCTATATTATTTTGTATCCTCATAAATATAATATATCATCAGTGAAGATATCTATACTGGGAAAAAAGCCAAACTTGGGGTGATTTGAACATTTTCAGGGCTGTGCGGCGCTGGTAAAACACTTATGAATAAAAAACTACTTCTTTATCGCTGATAAAGACCTAATATCTAATTATAGTATTTTTAATCAATATTTTTAAGATAGCATGCTATTAAACACAAACAAAATGACCATTCTTTAATTCTCGATGTATTTATACAGCTGTTCAGAAAACACTGAATACTGACAACAATGTTTCCATGACCAGAATGCATTGCTGGTCGTTCTGTGGCCGTTCAAAAGGCGTTTTCGTCGTTTCAGAGTGACTATGGCAGTTCTGTATAGTCAAGATGTTCATTGGAAAACAATGAAATTTAGAATTTCCATTTTTAACGCAGGTGACGTGGAATTTAATCGCAACAATGCATTGTGGTCTTGCTGGTAATGCTATCATGATATATCATGCTTCTCAAGTAGATACTAAGTTCACTAATTACCTAAAAACCTCGTATATGGTTTAATGCCTCGGTTTTCGGTAATTTTAAACTCTTAGTTGATGGCGTCGAGGCTATGTACAATGGAATACATAAAAACAAGCAAGAGAGAAAAATTTCAACACATGCCTAATGACAAACGATATCCACTCATTATCAGTATCTGTTTATGGCAAAAAGTCTTTCAGCCGAGCATATACATTTGTACATAGACCGATTTGACGGATTCAAAAAATGGTAGTTCAGTTTCGACCAACAGCAATTTTACTTAAATAATGGCTGCTCGAGTAAGAGGCTAGTTAATATAGAACAATTTATTTATTATGTATTTAAACTGTTCGAATCGTGGTCTGTTACTTGACTTTCCCTTTCATTGCATTCACATAGAGCAATGCATTCGTTWTGTAGGTGCTTGCTACAGAGCTGATTCCAGCCTTAAAGACCTCAACAAAGCTGAAGAACACCTTCAAAAGAGTATTGAATGCTGGGAGAATCTATTTGATGGCTTAAAAGACAAAGACCAGTTCAAGATATCTTTTCTTGATACTTATGTTGACACCAACAAGGTTCTTATCGAAGTTCTGCTGCAGAMGAATCAGCATGAGAAAGCTCTACTGATTTGTGAACGCGGACGAGCCCGTGCATTGAGAGACCTCCTGAACATGAAATACAGCACAAGTGAAATATCGACATCAAAACAGAAATGCATGGAACTTGATGATGTCAGAGATATGTCKTTCAATCATGATARCTGCATTCTGCTTTACGATCTTGATCGTAGGAATCAGGCCGCTCGATTCTGGGTTATAACGTCTTGCCAATCAATTTTCTTTTACAGTGAAGAATCCCAGCGGAAAGAGTTAGAAMATTTGATGGAATCARATTTTTCTGAAGACGACTTAGAAAACATTGGAGATGATTATGTTCAAAATCTGGTTGAAAACAGTTTCAAAAGCATGGGAGTTAGAAAAGGCATGACATGCGAGGACAGATCACTGGGACAACTAGAGCGTGAAGACCTGGACCGTATATCCTTCAAACCTATTTCAAAACCCAGTGCAACCTCTTCCAGATGTATATACATGGACGAAGAGAATGAGGAACCATTGGAAATGCTGTTCGATAGGTTGATTTCCCCAGTTTTAAACAAACTAACCCAAGAAGAGATTGTCATCATTCCTGATGGACATCTGTTCAT